CTGAGAAGTGGTTAGATGGCAGCACCATCCGCCGATAAGAAGCGCAATAGTCGAAAATACTCGGTGAGTTCGTCTTAACAAATAACATCGTACTGTAAAAAAGAAAATATGTATGGTATCGTTTACAAAAATAAGTTAGACTTCGAAATTTCGAAACGGATGAATTTTGCAAGAAATAATTTACAACACATAACGTGCTTCTCTATTGCAAATAATATTTGCAGAAATATTTTATTGATAAGTCAAAATTTTCATAAAATCGAGCTTTACGGGATAAAGACAATTCATTCAGTTTGTGTATTTACACATTTGTAAATAAAAAAAACGTCATAGTTAATTATGTTGTTCATAAGAATATTATATTTCAATCTTTTCTAATACTTTTAAATAGATGTTAATATGTACTAAAATTTTTCGTCCCAGTTTTTTTTTTATTTTTTTACATCTATGCCGTGCTTAAATGCACAATTCAAGGAAGGGAATAAAAGGTAAACAATGCACAAACATGACTGTGATAAAGTAAAATTTATGTATTTCAATTACATGCGATGTTTCCTTCATATTTAATCGTAATCAATCACGGTTATCTATTTTTGAAAGAATTAAACTAACTGATAGTTTATCACGTACAATCGAATATTTTATCGACACTGAGCATCAAACGTCCTGCGCGATATTTATTGAAATTTTTTATCGGCATTATCTTCGTCAATTTTAATTATACTCTCATGATTCACAATCAAGCGGTCTGAAACTGAATTACATTTACCGTCTTTTCATGTGCAGACACATCCTTGAAAGGACGTAATTTTTTTTAATTTCGCTTAAAGCACGAAAGCTAATAATATCGAGCTAATAATTTAACATCCTACCGAGAAAGGGTAGCCTTTCTGTGAAAGTTTTAACATAATCACGTTAAGAGTAGCAGGGTTATCGTTCGTTTGTTTTTCATTCGTTTCTCAATTCGCTTCTTCTATATATAAATCCTTTCGTTCAATTTCGAGAAATATTGGCAACAGCGTCATATATCGCTACATTGAAAACATTCTTGGTAAATTTATCAATTTCTTTTCATGAAATGATAATACGTGACTTTTCGATGCGATCTCGAACTTTGAAGAGTATCATGCAAATACGTGTTCTAATTCTTTCTCAACGTGTATATATATGTATATATATATATATATATATTTTTTTTTTATTTTATCTAATGTAAGTGAGTTTTTTTCAATGTGTTCAACTAATTACCAGTTCCTCACTTTAGACAACCAGAAAGAAAGTCTTCGTTTGTTTCTTTAAGTGTAACACTGCATAATCAGAAGGAACGTTGTTTATCATAAATATTCCCGAGACTGATAACAATCCTAATCAAGAACGTTTCATGTGTTCCTCTTGTTACTCACTGTGCAAAGCTGGAAATGCTGTAAGCTGAAGGAGAGTTTAATTAAGAAAGAATTCACGATATTTAACAAAGATCGGTAAGAGAATTCGACGTAACATACGAAGAGGAAAGTAATTAAAAAAATGATCTCCTCGCGCAGATAGTTATGTCTTTCGTTTTGTACAAATTAAAAATGTTCGGTTAGAATTGCAAGCTGATTACGATTATTTTGTAAATGTTAATCCGTGACGTCAGAAGATCAGGCGTGAAACGCAAGAAGCAAAAGACTTCAGTCATCATGTTTCACGACGTGAGATATAATTGTATTACAAATCGACCGGAAAAGAAAGAAAAAAAAAAAAAAAAAAGAACGTGTCAATATTAACCTTATGAGTTCGAAACGTATCCACTAAAAATCTCGCTTTTCTCACATATTTTTCAACGAACGACCAACAGTTTAAGTTTAAATTTACTGAAAACAGGTTTCTTTTTTTTCTCGTTTCAGT